CTGGATACTGGATAAAGGCACAAAGTAGCTTGAGAAAAAAAAAAAAATCTTAGGATCTACCTAAAAACAAGGGAGTAGGGAACTCAAGTGGATTTTATCCAAAGCAGTGTGGATAAGTGGCTAAGCACTCCCAGCACAAGGCTGTGCCAGGAGATTAGCTCTACACTCGCCTGAGCCATGGCACAAATTAGTCACCGCAGCTTGTGGTTTTACCAGTTGGCACATCCTGTGCCGAGGCCGCTGACATGGGGCAATCCAGCAGGTGCATAAAGGAGCTGATCCCCATTGGCTGCCCTTGGCAGAGCCGGGAGCTTCTCGCTGAGTAATTAAGGTAATGACAATAATAGACCCAAAGTAAACAAGGTGGAAAAAAAATTTAAAAAATCAATTGGCTGGGAGCAGAGGCCACATTCAGTGGGGAGCAGTGCTGACGGCTTCTGCCTGCACCTTGGTCCGTTGGAGACTCACATGCATCCTGGTGGCACTCCAATGAGTGGTTTTAAACATCGGCTGTAACGGAGGCTGCACCGGCAGCTGCTCCCACTCGGCAGGCAGCCGGAGGCTGCAGGGAGGTAAGGGCTGGGGCTGTGCTGCTCTCAGCAGCGCACAGCTACGGGGTCAAGGGATTGGGTCCACGGCAGCAACTGCTGTGTGCAGCCTTGTCTGGGCACTTGGGTACCTCCTGATGCAGCATGGATGCATTTCCATCTAATCCTTCCGATTTTATGGCCTCTGCCCTCCCTCCCCTGACCCCGAAGCAGAGGAGTTATGGCCCTAGGAGAGGGGAGGGCATTTGCTCCTGCGCTACTAAGTTAGGAGAGTTTTGGAGCCAAATGGGGAAGAGTTTAGGATCAATCTCCACTAACAGAAGTGCACTGAATCCCCAGAGACCACAGAGAGACAGAGCACCTCAGTGCACATGCAAAGTGGGAGGGAAGCACCGGAATTTCAACCCCTTCTCAGACAACTTCTCCCCCAAAGCCCCAAGACAGCTACATATAATTCTCCCCACCCTCAATCACATCTCAGGGGTCTGCTTTCACTCCAGCCACCCCCCACAGTGGCCAGAGTCACTCCCTGGAGTGAAAGCACCTTTCCATATACCGAATCTGTGGAGAGGCTGACCTTGCCTGATTGCTGTACATAAGCAAGGAGATTTCTCTCTCATGGGCAAGACAGTCCTACCAAGATTTTTCCAAAAGCTGGATAGAAAAGCTCCCAGGCTCTGGATATCTATCTGGGCCAATCCCTCAAACTCCTTTGTGTCAGTGTACTCAAGGCTCTGTGCTTTTTCCTCTGTGCTACAGGTAGAAAAAGAAAGAAAAGCGGGTATTAACTTTGTCCCAATTTCAGCCCGCCTGGGTGGGAGGTTGGAACTTTTCCCAGCAGTTTAGATCAAAACTTACAGACCCTCTTTTTATTCTCTCCAGCTCTGCCACAATCGGTGCAACCATACAAGGAGCACGGTGTAACTCTCACAGCCCAAAAACACAAGGAAGAGGTTGGACTCATCAAAGAAAATCACACAGCTCTGAATTTTAGAGCAGGTCTGAGCTTGCTCTGTATTTCCACCTATTCCTTACGGCAACAAAGGGAAAGGAGGAAACCTGAATCCAGGGCTGTACACACAGGAGGTGTGAAAGGTGAGGGTGTGAACTGCTTGGGCACCTCTCGTCCCAACAGCTCCAAGTACTGGTGGGGCAGGGCAGAGACATCAAATACCTATTTTAATGCAGGTGGCTCTGGACAGCTTTTGGCAGAAGGGCCTTTTCCCAGGGCCCTGCAATGACTCTGTTCACCAGGAAATTTTTAATGCCTAACCTGGGCTAGACACCATTCTCTTTTCCCCCTCATCCAGCTTCTGGAGAGGGAAGGGGAAGCTGCAAAGCAAGGAAGGGAGGTCACCACACAACCTCTCATCTCACCATGTCCCCTGCCATCTTTCTTACTTTAAACCTCCCCTTTGTTCAACACAGCAGGTGACCCCCAAGCAGATGAGCCATGTCGGACAACAAAGTCTCAAGGCAAAAGCCCTGCCATCACTGCAAGAGCAGGTCAGCCTCAGCCCCACCAGACACCTCCACGATCCACTATGAGAAGTTCTGGCTGTACCGTCACTGCTCTTCAGTGCAGCAGAGGGACAGGCAAGCTCAGAAAGCTGGGCAGCTCTTCTCAGGGCTGCTGGCCATGAACGTGGTGTTTCTGGGCAGCGCCTTCATCAGCAGCATGATTTTCAACCACGTGGCCATCACCCTGGCAGACGTCTGGATCCTGCTCTCCATCCTCAAGGTCTTGTGCCTCTGCTGGATCATCTACTACCTGCTGGGCACCAGTCGGCAGCCGCACGCAGTGCTCTACCGGGATTCCCACGCTGGGCCGATCTGGATTCGGGGTAAGTTCTGCTTTTATTTATCATCTCATGCCTTTCCCCTTCTTCCCAGTGCTTGATAGAAAAGATAAAGAAATTCTTCCACCACTACTAAAAGAGCCAGAAGCCACAGGAGATGTAGTTAAGGCACTGGGAATCTCCCAGTACCCTGCCAGCTTGTGGTGCAAGGCTGGGGGAAGACAGGGGCATAGTGGATGCCACAGAGAGGAACCAGAGCAGCCAGGGAAGTCCTGAACTTGGCTTTCCTTCAGCTTCCAGTCCAACCTCACTCTGTGGTCCCTTCACAAAGCACAACCCAGGCATCTCCCACCCGCAGCCCAGAAACTGAGCACGGTGGGAGAGACATAGGAAAGGTTTTAGGCACAGCCACTTTGCAAAGTGGGAGGAGAACCACCACGTTTACCCTCCAAGGGCGTCAGCGGCCCCATGCCACTCTCGTCCTTGTTTAACATCACAGCAGTCCTGTTACCAGGGGAAGATTCCTGGCCAGTGAGTCACATCCCAGTGACACCCAGGCTTTCCTGGGAGATTTACCATCAGTAGTTGCCCCACTTTGTGAAATGACACTTCTCCAAGCAGCCCTGCCTCTGGTCTGTTATGGAGTTTCTAATTGGCACATGGTCTTGTTAACTAAGCATGGAGAATTAAAGGGAAGAAAGCTGCAAGGTACCCGAGTACCTAAAGCTGCAGAGAGGTGTCAAAGACGAAAGGGAGAAACAATTAAAGGGTCCTAACTTCTGCAGACTGGTGCTGCCAAAAGCCTCAGCAGACCTGCGTTCATCTCAGGTTTTCTCCACAAGGCAGAAACCATCACCTGCCATTAGCTTACCTCTGTCACTCCAGATTGCACAGAAAAGGCTAAAAATCCTGTTCCCACCTTGTATCCAAGCACAAGAAAATACCTTGCGTTGTCTCAACACCTTAAACCAGCTGAAGCATGCAACCAGGTTCAGGAATCAGGATCCCCTCTGTCCCCTTCTCTCAAAATCATGAGACTTCCAAACAGGAAGGCCTCCAGATCCACTCAAACCCAAGCAGCACAAGGTCTCCAGTCCCCACCCAGGCTCAGATGCTCCACAGACATGTCTTTGTTTATTTACTGGTGCTTTTGCTCTTTGCCCAGGGTCAGTGCTGCTGTTCGGCAGTTTCAGCATCCTCCTGAACATGTTTCAGATCGGCTACAGCGTGATTCTCATCCAGTGCAAATCCATGGTGGAAATTGTGTTCCCCAGCATTGAAATCCTTTTTATTTGCACCCAGGTATTGCATTTTACCCTTCTGGAAGCTCACTTGTTCTCTCTGTCCCATTCCTGGGAGCCCAAGGGGTGGGGGGAAGTGGGTGCACGAGGCATTCTCATGAGCATTACTGGCATTAAAGTATCACCCACCATTTCAAATACCACCCACCCACACTCCTCATGTGCCAGAATGAGAGACAAAGTAGTAAGATTTAGAAAGAAATCACTCTAGCAATACCTGACATACCGTAGGATGCAGAGGAGTTTGTTCTGAAGCCTCGAAGTAGGGAGAGAGAAGAAATTTCAGATTTCCCTAGAGATGTCTTTGCACCAGTCTGAGCCTCAGTCTCTCTATTTGCTAAGGCATCCCCCCCCCACCAAAATCCTTTGCTCACAAAAGTATCTCACACCATTTGCAAACTTGCTACTCTGATACTAACCCTCTTCTTTCCAGACCCAAAGCCACATTTGAAAAGTAAACTAGCTCCCATCTCAGCAGCAAATACCCACATACATACAAGACAGAGAAAAGCAGATCTCTTAGATCTGCGTTAGGTGCAGGCACACGCATGCCCCAGTCACCTAAGGACACCAGCACATGCCTCAACACCGAGATGCAGGTACACACACGCCCCTGCACCGCTCGCACAGAGGCAGGTTTGCTCCCACTCAGACACGTGCCTTCTTGCCTGCCTTCCCTTTCCACCGCGTGTGTGGCAGGCTGCTAGCTTCACCCTGCTCACATCATTATTGTTATCGATTTGCAGGCTTTTTTTCTGTGGCGTCACTCTAAGGACTGCATTCAAGTCCAGCACAACTTCACCAGGTACAAAGAAGGGGAAAAAACTGCCCTCTACTCCTCTAAAGAAACTCTTCCTTCCTGTCTGCTTATGACCTCCCTTATTCCTGCTAGAACCGTCTTCATCCGATCTTACGCAGACTCTCTGTATTCTGCACTACACAAAAGCCAAGCTATGGCTTGACCAGACCCATCCTCCTTCCCTTGACCAGGGCTCACCAGCTCCCTTCGGTTTTCACTTGTGCCTTTGACTGCTGCAAAGCTTGTTGCTTCCTCCTAACCCCAAATACCTTCCCACGACATGGCTCAGGGACCAATTCACTGATTGGAGGATGAGGTGGGGTGGCCTCCCCATTCCTATCACCGGCAGATGTCTCAGCCTTCCCTCCCTCAACTGCACACAAACCTAGGCCGGTTTCACCAGCGAGCCTGGCATTGCCTGCCCTGGTCCTTTGCAAATGGCCAAACAGGAACATACTCAGCCATATTTGTGTGTGCAAAATCACACGCCAATGCCCCTACGCAGAAGAGGCACAAATGCGCTGTGTTTGCACACATCCGTGCATGGGTAAGCAAGAAGCAAAGGGCAGCACTCCGCAGCAGGTGGATACACAGTCAGGTCGTAAACAATCTCCACAGGCAACATACTGTAGAAGTGCCTTTCTCTTCTCCCAGGTGTGGGCTGATGCTGACCATAGCCACTAACCTCCTCCTCTGGCTCTTGGCCGTGACCAACGACACCATTCACATGGAGATTGAGTCTCAGCTGCGTGAGGTGGAGCAGCGATTTGCAGGCAAGGCTCCTTTTTCACATCCCTATGCGTTAGGCTGACATAAATGACTTCTAGGGAGACAACAGTTCTTGATCTCACCAATTCAGATATCACAACCAGTTCCCCCAAATGCTGTGACTTCCCTATTACTGGAGGTTGTCTCGAGAAGATGGGCTGCACAGGGAGGACATCTCCACATGGAGGGGGAGGACCTGATATGAAACCCTCGAACTGAGGGCTAGGAAAGGAAAAGCCCACCATAAATTAATATTTTTGCTCACATTTACCTGTCAACTGCAAGCAAAAGATTGCCAGACTAGAAGAGAGTCACATAATTGCTGTGCTTTACTTTTGGGGGGGGGGGAAGGGGGGAAACTAATATTCCAAGGGCAGAGATAGAGAAGGCTTCGCTGTGAAGGAAGGGGAGTCTCTCTCATCCAGCACCTATGGTGTTGGCCAGAAGGAGCACTATGTACTTGGGAAAGACATTTGCTAAACCCTGTTATTCTGAATCCTCACAGCCTTGAGGACCAAGTGGTAATCACTTAACTTCCTACTGATCGCTGTTTCTGAGATACATAGACAGATGTTGTGCCTGCACATAAGAAACTCCCAAAGATAGCCACGAAAGCCAGGCCATCTCCCTCTTAATTGTTGCCTTCCTCTTCTCATGTTCCAGGCAATGAGACTACCTCATGCACATGCCCAAACACAACCATCTGCAAAGTCTTCCAGAAGGGCTACATCCTGCTCTACCCCTTCAACACTGAGTACTGCCTCGTCTGCTGCTCCGTGCTGTACGTCATATGGAAGAACGTGGGGAGACGCATCAGCCACCACCATGTCTCTCACATCAAGCCCAAGTTCAAGCTCCAGGGGGTGGTCTTTGGGCCACTGCTGGGCACTACTGCCGTAATCATCGGGATCTGTGTCTTCATGATATACCAGATCCAGGCCACCGGCTCAGCCCCCAACCACCAGGTCTTTGTAATGTACTATTCCTACTACATTGTGCTCCTGCCCCTGATGAGTGTGGGCGCAGTGATTGGGACAATCATCCACGCCTTGGAAAAAAGGGAGCTGGACACGCTGAAGAACCCAACCCGCAGCCTGGATGTGATCCTGTTGATGGGGGCAGCCCTTGGCCAAATCGGCATGTCCTACTTCTCCATTGTTGCCATTGTGGCCACCGACCCCAGGGACCTGTTGAACAGTCTCATCCTGTCCTATTCTGTCCTCCTCATCTTTCAGAACATCACCCAAAACGTCTTCATCATTGATGGGCTTCACCGGCAGCCCTTTGTAGCAGCAACTGAGGCCAGACACACAGGCCATGCTGGGCGGCATGCAGTGGCTTCAGAGCTACCTCGTGAAGAGGAAGCCACAACAAGCAGCAAACAGGAACACACACAGCTCTCTCCTGGCAAAGAGGAAGAAATGAAGGAAGAGCAGAATCATGAAGCCTACGACCAGAGACGAGTGAGCATGCTGGAGCTGGGACAGGAGATCCGTAAAGTTTCACTGTCCTATCTCCACAGCTACTCCCACCTGAGTTGGAAGAGAAGAGCATTAAGAGAGATCTCGTTCTTCTTGGTTTTGTGCAACATCATAGTAAGTATTGCTCTCTCTGCTACATCACAGCTTGGCTGAGCCATGATGACCAGTGATAGGCATACTCTTCTTGTCTTTCTCTTGGGCTACTATTCCAGACAAGAAACCTTTGCCCACCAAGTTTCAACCTACCGGTGAGGCAAGTCAAGAGTGTTTTTTCTGTTAATACCCCACTCCCATAATTATAAGGTCTCTCTTTTAACCTAAAAGTCAAATATGGCTAGGTTTCCTGGGTGCAGGAAAGAGACAGCTAATAAATCCTTAAGTGCCAAAATTTTAGCCTCTGAAAAAACTTAAACTCATTAAGGCTGTTTCATGAGATAGGTGGAGAAACATAGGGCACCAGCAGTGAGTCTTTGTAAACATGAGTCTCCAGGATTGAAACTCACCCAATAAAGTACACTGCGCTCTGGGATCTTGAATCAACACAGATCTTCACTGCAGCCTTAATCCAGTGAAAACAAATTGGCCAAGGAACCAGTGAAATTCTGTAGAAAGATGAAGCTGGCTAGGGCAGAATGAGGCCATCATTAGGTTTCCAGGAATCCAACAGGATTTGACTTATAGCAAGGAGTCAGCAGCATAACTAGGGGATTTTCCTTCTCTTCCCTGGCAGGGAGACTCCTGATACTCTTGAAATATTCCTACAACGACTTGAGCCAGTGCTGAGATTAGAGTGCAGGCAGCAGACAGTTTGTCATCCTCTGACTCCTGCTCTTTTTTCCTTACACCTCTTTAGCTGTGGGTCATGCCCACATTTGGGGCTCACCCTGTCTTCGAGAATGGACTGGAAAAGTCATTTTACGGTTACTCCACCTGGTTTGCGATCGTGAACTTTGGCCTTCCACTGGGTGTGTTCTACCGAATGCACTCCGTCGGGGGACTCCTGGAGGTCTACATCACAGCCTGAACCAAGCTGACTCCCCACCCCAGAGGCTGGGGTGCAACAATGATGCTGAACAAAGATGCAGTAAGCAGCAGATATGCACATGGAAGCTTTTAAGCTTTTTCCCTCCAGCTTCTGCTTTGACTTCTCCTTGCACATCTCCGCCAGCTTCTGCTTTGACTTCTCCTTGCACAACATCTCCATGAGTTTCAGAAGAAAAAGGAAGTTGTTTTATATTATCATTTTTTGTCCATAGAGAATAGACTCAAAGCCCATAAACAGTCTTACTGCTCTAAGGAAGCATGCATGCTGGTACTTTCCAGTAGTCTGCCAGTGGATGCTGTATGGTAGCTCCTATGGAAATCTTCCAGATAAAAGACTGCAAGAGCAGCCGTCAACAAAAGCAGTAAAGATTGACCAACACTCCACAGAACTTCAAAAATCCACCATCAAGGACCACCAGCCCCATCACTGCTCACCAGCTCGCCATCCTGCAGCACAGAAGAGGCCTATCAGTACCAGCCACACTAGAAGCACATACAGCCAGTCATTCAGAAATGAACCAAACGTACACTTTTTATGTGTAATTTTCAAAAAGAAGCTGGTAGCTGCTTTAATGGTCATAACAGGGAGTATTTCTGTTTGTTCCTGGTGCGAGTCCCGTAGGACCCAGCCCCACTGAAGTGCGAAGCTCTTGCTGCCAAGCTCACTACTGAAGAGCAGGACAGGCCTTCAGACTTGCAGCGGTTCAGTGCACCTTTTTTCCCCATTATCAAAACCAGAAGCTATAGCATTACCTTGCCTTACCGAGAATAAACACTACTTTTCCTTACAGGCACTCACATAGCCTCAAGTGAGAAGCACTAGAGAAGTACTATGGCTGATCTTTACTTGATGCTACTCATGCGTGATGTTATCACCAGTGTGTACTAGCAAAGGTCCCACCCTTGCACACAGAGCTAGTTCAAGAAAGAGCTACTGCCAAATCTACTGTGAATCCCTCCCTACCCCAACACTTCGATCCTCACTGCTGCTTTGCACGTTCACAAACATTTCGCAAGGTGCACTGCGCGCAAGGGAGCACGGTTGCACAGCGTGGTGCCTGCTCAAAGACCCGTTAGTACTTGTTCCACAGGAGATGCTTGCTTTGAAAGCACACGGGAGAGCAAGGGGGCTTGTGACTACGGGTCCCAAATACAGAGCTTGATGAATGGAAATAAAGAGAGATTGAATTTTCATGTGTATTTTGTGAAATCTCTGGGTCTGCTCTGCACGCAAAGACCAGGCTCAAAGTCAACTGATATTGACTTACACCACTCTTGTGTTCAGAGGTTATGTGAGATTTAAGGGCAGGCTTTGTTATACAATCAATCTTTTCTGCTGTCAAAACCTTTCATGACTCTTAACCAAGGCCAAAGTAGCATGGTACAAAAGGCATCTACGTTCTTGCTTCTGTTCCTCTATAAATCAATCCCAGAAGCAGTGTGGGTTTAGGATCAGAGCCTATTTATGGATTTTTTTTTTTGTGATCCCCTAGAAAAGCAAACTCCCCCAAGACAGTAACAGTGATGAGAGCTAGAAACTCCTGACCACACACATCCCACCCTCCTTCGGATTCAGCATTCAGGCAATGATAGCACCTTTCTGTGAAACTGTAAGTGAGAATGATTGCATGAGCATGAACTTTGCCCAGTAAGTGTTTTTTACTTAGGCTTGTGTCAACAGAAATATGTCATGAGAAATAACAGCTGGATAAATTAGGCTCCAATAAAGTTAATTATTATTCTCATGTCACAGTTTGTACCAAGGGATCTGCAGGAGATACTTGCCAAGGTCTGGCCCTGTCAAATGATGAACATGATCTCAAACCTTCTTCCTAGTTATTGACAGCCTGGAGACAAGCAACAATGTACTTCATGGGCAAACCCATGACCTGGATTTTATCTGCTGTGTAATAGATAAAACACTGTTTAAGTTACTGAGCAGGTGACTTTGGAGATCTCCCACTGAGATATAAATACTAAGTCCCGTAGGTACTATGTGCAAGTATGGACTGAAAGAGAAGTTGGCTTGCAATTTCTTTCTGGTAAACAGATGGACTACCTGAATACATGATTAGCATCAAGAGGAATGAAGCCCACCAGCTCCAACTCTTACCCACAGCCACTACAGATAAGTGGTCAAGGCCCTCTATGTCCTTTGCTAACAACACCCAGTTCTAATACTGTAGATGAAGGTAAGAAATCCCAGGATGGGCAACAGTAAAAGCACTCTTCCAGGCCAAAGAGAAATGTAGGGTCCAAGGTTTCAGCCCTTTCACTTAGGAGGGTTCTATCTCTGGACTGATTTGCGTCTACCTCCAGGCGGGGTAAAACCATGAGCGCACAGTTTGCATGCAATTAAGACTGCCTTCGGCTCCTTCACAAGACTGACAGCAGGGCTGGGCACAATGATCTGAAAGCCTAGTGAGAAGTGAGCTAGCCGTGACTCCTGAATCCGACGCAGCCATGACATGTCAGTGGCCCACCTGCTCCTTTGTCATCTGCCATCTGCTCCACCATCTTTTGTCATATGCCATCCGTGAATGACTTCCAGAGCTCTCTCAGGGCCAGGGTGCCTGGTTTTATGGCTCTCAACTGCACAAAGGTTTTAGTACACAATTCACAAAGTCAGGAGACTTGATCCTGTTTGATCTAGTTCCTTTTCTGTACCCCTTGAGGCAGTTACCGTTGATGATGTCTCATGCCGTAAACAGAGAAATGGCCAAAAACACACAGTTCAGGCTCGTTTTCCAGAGTCCAATCTTAATTTCTGATTACAAGAAAAAAATCCACACACTGCAGAGGAAGCCAGCACATGGTCTCCTAGTGGCACAAATCACCCCAGCATAAGACAAACAAGATTATAAAACTCTCTCTGGGAAAAAAATAAGCAACCAACTGCATGTTTCAGATAATCTTTATCTTTCTCTCTAAGTAAGCAAATAGTTTACAGTGCAAGTTGATTTCCACAGAACAAGGATCAGACTCCAAACACCAAGAAACAAACAAAAAGGTTTCCAAAGGAACTCACAAAGAAACAAAGCAGAAAAGAGAGGACGGAAGAGATCATGAGAACCAGCAGATCCATGGGAGGGAAGAGGCAAGCGCATGGGACACAGGATGCCCCATTCCAGCTGTGAGGTGCAAGTGCCATACAATCAGAGGCTGGCCCCACCAAATCACATTCTTATATACGAGAGAGATTCCAAGTAAAACAGAGACCTCACCCTGTTTACATCTGAACAGAGATGGTGTCAGCATGGGAGTAGTGCTAGATGGCAAAGTGGGTTGGAGATGGGGGGCAGGTGAGGGAATAACCTCTCTCTATTTGACATATTTCTTATCCTTCAGAAAACCATTCAGGTTTTATTTCAGCTTTCTACTGGCCTGGGACTCCAGCCCACTTCCAGTGCCCAAAGGAGGAAACCACCTGACTAGGAGCCAGCAGTACACTACAGCAGCACTCTCTCTAGGAGAGGATGGCCATGTTGCTATGACTCTAGCTTCAAAACTTAGGCAAGGCTTACAAGACACAGAAGTGTGTGCCATACCTGCCCCTTACTTTAACATGTGAGACCAGTTTCCATGGAGTAATCTCACTGGTTCTAAGCTGCGGCAAACAGCTCATGGCCAGTGATCCTCCCAAGAGCCTGAATCCCAGAGCACCAAGGACTAAGCTTTGATGGAAAGGGAAAGGTCTCAGTTCATGACAGGACCCCTCACATTTCATTGCCTAAAGACCAGCAGGTCTAAGACAGCAGCCCCTCCCAGCAGAACAAAATTTGACTCAAACCCCAGGATGTCTCCACCTACCAATGTGCAACCCCATGCAGCTGAACCAAGCCAGCAATAACAGGTCTCCCACCGATTCTAATTCTGGCTTCCCAGACTTCGCGTGCTTGGGACCCAATACATTCAAGATCTGATAACTTGGTCACTAGCAAAATGCCCTGAAGAACTGAACTTTGCCTCAGCACTCTCCACTCCCTAGTGACATGGAGATGCTTTTCCTCCTACAACTTCCAAATTCCTCCTACAACTTCCCTGAGCGCCTCCCTCAATCCCCTGCCTTAGACAGTAGTGTGCAAAAGACCCCTCCACTCCCTGCGTTGCATCAGCCTGCCAGGCAAAGATGGAAGGATATGGTTCTTTTCAAACCCAGGTGACACTGTCCTTTCAGTCAACAGGAGAAGATGAAAAGAATTTAACAGTCGCATCTCTCCTCCTTGCTCTCACTGAGCCAGTCCCTTCCTCCCTGTGTGCTCACACAGATTAAGCAGGGCTTTCCAAAGTTTACACACACACGCTCCATCGCAACAGCCCACCATGAAGGAGAGGCTGCTGGGCCTGGAAGCCAAGGAAAAGCTTCTCACACCACACCAAAGCACCAGCTACTACAAAACTTCTTAAGCGGCTTTCCAGGAAAGGAGTAGACAGATTCAGAACTGAGACACAAAGTTTTCCTTCAGCAACTTCTCCTTTCATTTGGACGGGAAAGACTTCCCTACCAATATGCAACTGAGACACCAGGGAGACATCTGCAGCCAGAAGGGATGCCCCAGAAACTTTATGGAGCCACACAAAAGTAACTGCAGTTTCCAAACCCCATCTCCTGCAGGAATAGCAGCTTCTCCCTTGCACCCAATTTACAGCTAAGTCTTTTTCAATTAAATGCTGACTCTGACCAGGGCAAGGACAGGGTCAGATTGGTTTCCTAACCACATCCAGGAGCAAAAGAGCAACAGAAGAGCTAAGAACAGTCTGATTTCTAGTGCAACCACAACAATGGACAATCCCTTAGACATCTTTCACTCAAGGTTCATGGTGAAGGGTGAGGGAAGAGAAGTGAGCTGGGGGGAGGGATGTCCAAACAGGTCCCAATTAAAGCTTTAAATGACAGGGAGGTAAATGAAGTGATTGTCCTTTTGGTCTCTCAGCTGGATGTGAAACGCAGGAATAGCTGTGAAGCAGGAGCACACAGCA